TTCTTTATTTTGAAATTTTCAAAATAAAATATTGGGGGAAAGTTTTCTGGGGTCTGTTTTGTTACTTAGCTAAAATTTTTATAGCACCAACTAGAATTTTGGTAATAACAGCCATTTCTATAGAGTTGCTGCAGCCCTCTCGTCTGTGCCTAGAGCCCTGCCTCGCCACTTGGTCTGGGGCCCGAGTTAGCCAGGCAGCTTCTCCTCTCCAACCTGAACATCTCAGTGCTCAGAGCAAGACCCCGGGGCCCGTGCCGCCAAGGCCTATTCATTCCTTCCTCTGCAGTTAGTTTTTGAGTGTTTCCCTATGTTCTATTCTGGGAGTACTGGGTTACTCTGACTTCGTTCTCTGAGTTTAATGTATTAAAGACCATTTTTGTGTTTTGTGCTCAGAGCTCTGAACATGTCCGAGTTCGTCTGTGACCTGTCAGCAAGGCCTTATGTGTATGACCTCATTGCCGTGTCTAATCATTATGGAGCCATGGGGGTTGGCCACTGTAAGTACTGGCATCTGTTTCCTCTGAGATGTTGAAATGCCCTCAACCAGTCTCTCACCAGCCTCTTCCTGTGTGCCAGGCACTGCCCTAAGCACTTTCTTTACACAGCACCTCAGGCCTCAAGTGTCAAGGTTTCAGTCTTGGTCCAAACTGCTGCTTCTCTATTCTGTCTTTTTTTTTTTGGTCTTCATATTCTTGAATCTGATAACCTCCCCTCTGGTAATCTATCCTAAAGAAAGGACTTGACACTGGGTAAAAGCTTTATGCACAGAGATATTCACCTCTTTTTAACAGTGATAAATTAGTATCAAGATTGCTGACCCACAGTTGGCACTACTGTCTGCACACTTGATGGAAGAGCGTGCAGCCATTGCAAAATAAAATTAGTGATCACAGGGGGAGACGCCCATGACGTGTTCAAACCTGCGTCATTGCAGAAGCTAGTGTGAAAATTACATTAAAGCAAAAAGCAAGAAAACCTTCTCTTTGCTCTACTTTATTTTCCAGAATGTCAGAATGTGTAGGTTTACTTTTATAATGAAAAGACTTATATTTTGTTGATTACGGAAGGGTATTAGTGATGTTGAAGACCTGGGTTTCCTCCCATTTCTGCTGCATCTGCACCATGCCAACTGCCACTACACCCAGTATTAGGACCCTAGAGATGACACCATGGGAGATATCAGTTCCTTTTATATTCTCAGCAGATTACAAAACTGCCCTAAGCCCCAGTCTTCTCCCTTGTACTGGTAAGCTTTTTCTGTTGGCTCAACAGTCTGCTCTCCTGCCCCTCCCTTTTTACTATATCACCTCATGGCTCACTCAGGTTGGCTGCTCAGTGTCCAGCCCTCTTGTCTACCTTCCAGGCCATCAGAAGAAGAGGAAAAGGGGCACAAACTTCCCCTTTAAGCCATCTTACCAGAAATCTCCCACAACTCCTCTGTGTACATCTCATTGGCTATAACTAGGCACATGGCTACATCTAGCTGTGGGGAGGCTGGGAAATAAAAACTGCACCTGTTTGAAAATTGGGCTCTACTGGAATGGCTATTGGCTACCTCTGATCACATCATATCCTGCAGCACTTCCTGCAACTTTTTTCCTCCCAAAATTAATTTTGGTATCTGTGTTCATGCATGTCAAATGAATTTACTTTAAAAAAATGAACTTACTTTTAAGTACTATTTTAGTATATAAACATACCATTTGGGAAAGTTTCTTAGCCTCCATATCCTTCTGTGTTCTCATCCATGAGCTTAGCCTGGTTGTGTGAGAACCCACATTGGGTCCACAATTGGAACTCCAGGATCGAGAACCACCACTGTGGCTGTTTTGACAAGCACGGACAATGGGGACAGGCTGTCGGCACCTTCTTCTGTGTTCTTTGCCCCTGCTTTGTGTAGGTGCTCTGATGAAGAGCTAAATGGCTGGCCCAGAGTCATGTGGCAGGTGGAGACTAGCACCCAGTCCTCCATTAGAGTCTGTCGTCGCGTAGAGTCTGGGGAGAGCAGGAATTGGTCATTGCTGCTGGGATTGCTGTTGTAAACACATCCTGCTAGAGAACAGTGTAGAATCAAGACAGGAAGCATTGACTGTGGGAAATGCTTAGACCACCGTGAGGCATTGTTATCCAGCCACAGACTTGGACTCAAATTTATCTTTCTCTGAAACTGATGACTGTGAGTCATCTTGTCCACATCCCCAGCTTTGCAAACCCAGATGCCCAGCATGTCTCTTACCAGGATTACCCCAGAGGCTCCAGAGGCAGAACGAGGCAGTAATAGCCATCTCCCTGGACCAAGTGGGGGAGTTTGACGTGGCCTGTTATTTTGAGAGCCATTTTTGCTTAAATATTTTTTTTTTATTTTTTAATGTTTTATTTATTTCTGAGAGACAGTGTGAGAGGGGAAGGTCAGAGAGAGAGGGAGACACAGAATCCGAAGCAGGCTCCAGGCTCTGAGTTGTCAGCACAGAGCCCGATGCAGGGCTCGAACCCATGAACCGTGAGATCATGACCTGAGCCAAAGTTGGATGCTTAACTGACTGAGCCCACCCAGGTGCCCCTATTATTATTCTTTTAAATGAAAAAAATTTTTAATGTTTTATTTTAGAGAGAGCACAAGCAGTGGGGCGGGGGGAGGAGGAAGGACAGAGGGTGAAAGACAGAAGCAGCCTCCAGGCTCTGAGCTGTCAGCATGCACAGCCTGATGCGGGGCTTGAACCCACAAACTGAGATCATGACCTGAGCTAAAGTCAGAAGCTTAACCAACTACACCACCCAAGTAACCCACAAAATTACAGTTTAAAGCCTTGGTCCCTGGGGCACCTGGGTGGCTCAGTCGGTTAAGCGTCTGACTTCGGCTCAGGTCATGATCTCGCGGTTCGTGGATTCGAGCCCTGCGTCGGGCTCTGTGCTAACAGCTCAGAGCCTGGAGCCTGCTTAGGATTCTGTGTCTCCCTCTCTCTCTGCCCCGCCCATGTTCGTGCTCTGTCTCTCACTGTCTGTCAATAATAAATAAATGTTTAAAAAAAATTTTTTTAAATAAAGCCTTGGTCCCTGATGACTCCATTTTTACCTTTTCAGAGCCTTTTTGAGAAAGAACAAGTTTCAAAAAGGAATTGTCTTTTGGTTGTTAGCTATAAATTTAATTTCAGGGTCTTTGTTTTCTTTTATTCATTTTTTAAAATATAATTTATTGTCAAGTTAACTAACATACAGAGTATACAGTGTGCTCTTGCTTTTGGGGATAGATTCCCATGATTCATCACTTACATACAACACCCAGTGCTCATCCCAACAAATGCCCTCCTTCATGCCCTTCCCCTGCACCTCCCCATCAAGCCTCAGTTTGTTCTTTGTATTTAAGAGTCTTAGTTTGCCTCCCTTCCCCTGCACCTCCCTTCCCCTTTTCCCTTCCCCTGCACCTCCCATTTTCCCTTCCCCTGCACCTCCCCATCAAGCCTCAGTTTGTTCTTTGTATTTAAGAGTCTTAGTTTGCCTCCCTCTCAGTTTGTAACCTTTTTCCCCCCTTCCCTTACCCCATGGTCTTCTGTTAAGTTTCTTAAATTCCACATATGAGTGAGAACATTGTTTCATATTTTTAGAGTTTTATTACTGTTCAGTGTAATAAACGAGCCAGACTAGTTCTCTGGTGATTGCTAGAGGTATTTTCTTTGTTGACCTGGCAGACACCGCATACGCGAAGAACAAACTGAATGGGAAATGGTATTATTTTGATGATAGCAATGTGTCCCTGGCCTCCGAGGATCAGATAGTGGTGAGTAGGCTCTAATACTTGGTTCCTCCTCTTACCTTTCTGGGTAGAAATCTCCTGGGTCTGCTGGGAAGAGTCTCCTGGGCTGGTTGGTTATTTGGTCATCCTGATGTGACAGCGGGAGCTGGGTGTGGTGGAAAAAGAGTTGACTGCCATTCCTTCTGGGACCCTTCCTAAATGAGAAGCTCAACTCTCTGGGTTCTGTCAGGGCGCTGACCTTTCCCCACTCTGGGTAGAGTCACCTTCATGGTTGCCTCTGTGCATGGACGCACAGGGCACAATGGCAGATGCTTGAGAGTGGGTCTGGAACAGTGAGAGAAAAGCTGGGGAGAATGGGTGATAATTCCAACCAGTAAATGAACTTTTCCCCTCTTGTGTTTTAGACAAAAGCAGCTTATGTGCTATTTTACCAACGTCGAGATGATGAATTTTATAAGACACCTTCACTCATCAGTTTTCCCAGATCCTCTGAGGGAGGGACGAGCCCAAGCGGCTCGCAGCAGGGCATGGGCGACGATGAGGCTTGCAGTATGGACACCAACTGATGCTGCCTCCGTGACTCTGCCACCCCACAGCGCCAGTGTAATCCCCCAGGAGAACATCTGACACCCTGGAGACTACTAGTCTAAAAACCAGATGAGGAAATTCTCTTTTATGAGCAGAAGAAAAAAAAAAAAAAGACCCTGTTTGCTCAGAAGGGTTATGTCAAGAGGCTGAGTTATTTTTCTTTTTATGCAGGTGGTGAGAAATTTCTTATAAGACCTGTGGGGTGGAAATTAGGGGGTGGGGTGGGGGGTGCACAGTGGAGTAAGTCCTGTGCATTCTAAAGAATGGAGAGGAACACTAATTGAGTATGAAGACCTGCCGCAGGCTGCCCTGAGTTCCTGGATTTCTTATTCTGGTGCTGATTACCGGTCACCCCAGCAGTCTGCCCACAGTAAACCAAGCCTCAACTTCACTTGATGTTGTCCCCTTCTCCCTTGCTATGCACTGAGATGGGTTTATAATTCCCTCAAAATTAGCCACTGAAGCCAGTTTCTGTATCCCTTTAAGTCATCTTGGAATTTCCATCTTTCTTCCCCCTAATGAAATGAAAATATTTGGTGTTGGGGTCCCCTGCCCCTCAATCTCGTGTGGAACCTAGCAGTTCTGTTAAGTCCCTCACCGTTCTTGATGAATTGAGACTGTTGGATACAGTGTGGAGCTTTTATTAGGCATCACTTAAAAGAAGTCGGTTCACAAAACTGCTGGGTTCCGTGGCCCTCAGGTTTCTCTCCATGTTGGCTTGAGAACAGGAACCTTCCCTTCTTGCCAACTTTGGTAAGAAGTGAGATCGCCCCTCCAGTGGCTTCTGGGGGTTCCGCGCCCCCACCTTCTCCCAGGCGATTCTGGCCCCCGCAGTCCTCACCAGCCTCCCTCGCTGGGCAGGGGAGGCGGGTGGGGATCCCGCTAGCTCCGTTCCCCTCTGGACCACATGGGTTTAAAGAACTAGGTGGTCGTCCAGGCATTCTTGTCTGACCTTTAACCTTTGGGGGTGGGGGAGGCGCCGTTCCTGGGCACGCGCGGCGACCGTTGGTGGGGGTGGCGGTGTGGCTGCGTTGCCGGGTGAGGACGTGGCCGCGGACCTTCTGCCGTAGGGCCGGAGGCTGGCCGCTGGCGGGGGCCGAGGGTGCTGCAGAGATGGCTGTACTGGGCGGCAGGGGCGGGCGGGCCCGGGAGCAGGGGGAGGCGGGGCCGAGCGTCCTGGGGCTCCAGATTGCAGGTTCCTCCCGGAGAACCGCGGGCCACACCCGCCGCACAGGGAGGAAGTCCACCCCTACCCCTACCCCCACCCCCACTCCCACCTGGAGTGTGGGTTACTGTGGCCTCTGTCCTGTGGCGTGGATCAAGCTCCAGGAGATGCGCCTTTCGGGGGTGGTTTGCAGCTTGATATGTTAATGTTATATTCCTGATGCTCTGTGCATTCCTAATGTATTACATAATAAAGACATGGTCGCTTTTAGGGGAAATGTCTGAAAAACTGAGAAGATGCAGAAAGGAGCTGACTGCAGCCATTGACCGGGCCTTTGAAGGTGTCAGTCATTCCAAGGAGTGCTCAGGCCAGCAGAGGCTGGAGCAGGACACCACGCCGCTCTCCTTCCCCCTCCCTGTGCACCGGCTTCTTTGCAGGAGGCACCCGCTGGCAGCCTGCTCCTCCTCCTCCCTTGCTCCTTTCGCTCCAGTCCCTTGTGCTCCTGAGACTGAGAGCCCTGCTTTTGCTCCAAACCATGCCCCAATGAACGCAAAGCCACATGCTTTATACGCGAAAAGGAAACCTCTGGCCAGTAAAGAAAACGTATTGACGCATTCCTCCATTTTGGCACCGGAAAGACAGTTTTGGAGAGCCACAGGAGATGGGGAGAACTGGAGAAAAGACAGCCTAAGGTGATTCCAGTTTGATAGTGTAAAAAGTTACGATTAAGGGGATCTCATTTCTAAAAATTCCGTTTGAAGTTCCTAAATTGAATTCATAGCACTGCCTTTGCCTCCCCCTTAGGATGGTCAGACTAGTCCTAGAAAGTACCTTGCAGGCCCTACAGGGGTAGGGAACGTTAGAGAACCTGATTTCTAAAGCGCTTCATTTTTTATGCTGCAGAAACAATGTCCATACTAGGGACAAACTGAATGGATACTTCCTGCCTTCATTCTTGCTTTTTCTCCCTTCACCCCACCCCACCCCACCCCACCGGTTTTTAGGCCGTCCCTGAGTTAAGATGTCCCCTAGACCTTTTTACTCCCTGGTAGCTTTAAAGTTTATTTAAGTAATCTCAACACTCAACATGGGGTTTGAACTCACCACCCCGAGACCAAGAGTCACATGCTCTTCTGACTGAGCCAGCAGGGCACCCCTCTCCTGGTAGGTTTAAACTGCCTGATTCTCGGCACCTTGATTTGGAGAAAGGATGACCTTATGGGATGAAACTTTAAGGTCCTGCCATCTTGGCTGACCCAGAGGCAGAGAACAAAGAAGCTATTTAGTTGGTTCCATTCTACAAATGTCATGTGGGTATTCATACGCATTAATGCACTGTCTGGGATACTTGTGAGTCATTAGGATGATGCTATTAGTCAGCCTCACTGATTGAGCAGTTTCCAGTTGTCCTCTCTATACGCAGCACAGAAGACAATTTAAAGTTACCAGTTTTGTTTTTAAGATTATCTAACACTGAGTTCCCTACAATATTTTCTTGAAAGAGGCTCTAATCCTCCTCCTCTTCTTCTTCTTCCTTCTTCCTTCTTTCTTCTTTCTTCTTTCTTCTTCTTCTTCTTCTTTTTTTTTTTTCCTACCTGGGGGTTGCAGGAAAGATATGGAGAAAGATTTGAAGGTTGACTCAAACATGCCACTCAGCAGTTCTAGCCAAGAGGTCACAAAGGATCTGCTTGATATGATCGGTGAGTACAGAGGGCAGGTCTGTCCTCTCCTTAGAATAGGTCCTTCGTGCAGGTCCTGAGTCAGCAGGTGTCTTAAAAAAAAAAAAACAACAAACAAACAAAAAAAAAACCACTGTCTTAGTTCTCATCCATCTACATGGTACATTTGTTTTCCCTATGGCAGGCTGTCTGCATAGAGCCCTCATGGAACTGATAGCCTGATGGAGTCACACAGGAATCGGGTCATTTCATAAATGTCTAGTACAGTGAATCCCTGGATATAAGGGACAGTGGCTCCCCAGGACTTGGTGGTTGAGTTGAGACCTGGAGTCAAGGATATAGGCAAAGAGGGGGCATGGTGGGGTGGGTGGGTAACATAATATTGGAAGGATCCCCAAAGCTCCCCTGTAATTCCAGCAGCCAGAGAAAGCCACAGTTAACATAGTGCTGTACATCCCGTCAGAGGGTTTTTTTCTACACACACATCTGTACATTGTGTAAACTATGCATGACCTATTTTTATTATGTATGTATGTATGTATTTATATATGCTCCATTTCTAAATGACTCACACTGTACAGTGGGCCAATAGCCCCTAGTTAAGGGATGCATGGCCTTGGGGGCTGCCTGAAGCTCTTATCTCTGGAAGTGTCTCCAGGTTATGGAGATGAAAAGGAGGCCTGGTGAGAAGATACTCCAGGCCACAGAGCAAGACCCCTGCCAGCCCACTGTGAGAAGACAGTCTCCTCCAGTAGTCCCAAGAGGGGAGCTGAAGTCACCTGCCTCAGCTCACTATCTTCCACACCCTTGCCAGCCCCAGGCAACATGTGGATTCCCCAAAAGACTGGGGTTTTTTTTCACACTATGTCTGGTCATGCCTGCAGGTCAGGGAGTTCCCTGAGATCCAAGACAAGCGTATGCATCTCTGTGTCCTCCCACTTATACCTTCCTTGGGAACTGGCAGGTAGTTGGGCTCAAGAAATGTGGAGCTGAGAGGGAGGGCATCAAGCCCACCTAAAAATGAGGCCCTCACTCTGGCAGCTTGCCCGCCTCAGAGCAGCAATGCCGGGCTTGGCACAGTCCCTGAAGAGTGACCGCCCATTTGTGGGTTTTAACTTGGGCCTGGAATGGCTTTGGGAGCCTCTCACTGGAATTGTAATGCGGGATGTTCTTATTTTCAAGACCATGCAAGCATCCGAGCTATTGAAGAACTGGCTGGGAAGCTAGAATTTGAAAACACGTTGAGCCGCGTGTGTGGCCACTGTGGAGGCTCGCCCTTCAGGGAGGAAACCTGGGCTCTGCTCTCGGACGAGAGCCCTCAGAAGGCCTCAGATGCAGAGCCTGGCAGCCTCAAGCAGGCTTTCGATGATCACAGTATCGTTGAGACTGTGCTGGACTTGGAAGAAGACTACAATTTGATGGCCTCTTTTAAATACCAAATTGAGTAAGGACAGCTTTGGTTCTTTCCAGCAGGAGGCTGCCTCTCAGGCAGTGATTGGTGTCACTGTGGGCCACTGCCGAATGGCTGGCAGAACTGGGTTACCACACCGTCTTTAACTTCTAGTTGTGTCCCTTTTTGAGCTGAAAGCCCATTTTTTTTTTAATTGTTGCTTTGAAATGTTTCTTATTGTTAACTTTTTTTTTCACTTTCCTTGAAATCTCAAATGTGTTTTTGATTGACATTTAATACACCCAGTACCCAAGGCAGGTATGGGTCGTGGGCCTCTGCTGCGTCTTCTGGTATTCTTTTCCCATGGGCCCGTGAGTAAGTACTGGGGCCACAACCAGGGTGGGCTTTGTGCACTCCCTGGGACCAGCCCAGCCCAGGCCAGCACAGCCTACACAGACTGTGGCCTCAGGTGCTCTGCCACCCATGCACACTTTCCACCCTTGCACAGGGCTGCCTGTTCTCTGCACGGGCTCCATGCTCTCCTCTTGTCCAGACCAACCTCCCGTCAGTGTCCCCCAGCCCTGCCCCTGTTCAGCTTGAAAGCCTCTGCAGGGACCTCATGGTTGTGTTGGAGGGGCGGATCCCCTCCTGACAGGACACTCCCATGAGGCCTCCCCACCACACTCTCCACATCAGACCTCTGGGCCCTCAGCCAAGGGTAATGAGACAAAAAGGTAAGCAAAGGTCCTGCCCATCCACCTTCATGCCTGAGCCTCATGCATCCCACTCCAGGCCTGGAGACCCTGTGGCAATGACCCTGCTGGGGCAAGATGGGCAGGGAGTGAAAGAGGAGCCAGCTCACTGCCCTTCTGACGTTGGCATAGCAAGAAAAGCATAACAGGGCTGCCTCTAGCCACACTCCTGGAAAGAAAGGACAAGGGCATCATCAGAAATTATTTCGGCAAATATCTCAAAACCATGATGTTCTTTCAGGAAAAATAAGCTATTGGGCAAGATTTGATGCCCAGAAATGGAGTCTCAGGGAAGTGCCTGACTTCTGGGCTCATGTAGGGAGGATGGGGGTGAGGAGGCTGGCACAGGGGCTGTTGTAAGACCCAAAGCTCAAATAACCCAGAGAACTGGGAAGGAAGGCCTGCTACCAAGGGCCCCCCTCCGAAAGGCCATCTTTTAGGCGAGACCTCAGCACAGGGCGGGCTGCAGAGCCGGTGACCACAGGTCTGGTGATTCTTGCAAGCTCTCAGGTGGAGACTGTGTGCTCACTCCTTAATGGAGCAAATGGCACCACTAGCCTCCGGCCACTTCAAGGGATGGGCCTCCCCTGCTGGGGCAGCCACCACCACTGCCCTACCTGGGGCAGGGGCAGGACAAGGTTAACCAGAGGACATTCAGTCCCTGCAGGGGATGGCAGCCTCAATAAGCACTCATAGTCTGTGGAGTTGGGGGCCAGTTTCTTCTCCCATAGCAAAACGGACAGGAGCAAATGAAAATAATGCTCACAGCATCCTTAGCCATACTGCTCAAGTAAAGAACAGCTGTGTGCATAGAGAGAGGTCTACTTGAGATCCAAAAAAGGGCTCAAACAGGTTCAAATAATAAGCGCTGGTGTGGATTGTCTCCCAAAGAGAAGGTGGAGCTTAATCCACTCTCTTACCCCATCACCACCCCTTGAGGCCAGGCTAGACTTAGTGGGTCACTTCCAAGGAACAGAGCAAGGAAAAAGAAAAACAGATTTCTGTGCAGAAGCCTGATGGCACGTAAGCACGTGATGAAGGTAACACTACCAGTGATGTCATGTGGATGAACTTTCTGCCCCCCACAGGGAGCAATGAAAAGGGTGCTCCCCCTCTATCGTGCCCTTACCAAAACCCCCACATCCCCAGTCCAATCATACACCAAATGTCCGACAAACCCAGATTAGGGGGACATTGTGCAGGATGCCTGGCCAGCACTCCAGATTGTCGAGGTCATGAGAACAAGGAAAGACTCAAAACCTGTGACAGCCCAGTGAAGACTAAGGAGACATGCTGTCTACAACACAGGGTAGTATCCTGGACTGGATCCTGGAACAGAAGATATTAATGGAAAAACTGGGGAAGTCTAAATAAAAGGCTAGAGTTCATGTATTTGTTAGTTTCTTAACTTTGACAAATATGCCTGTTATGTAAGGTGTTAACATTAGGGGAAACTGGGTGAAGGGTAGATACAAACTGTCTGCAACTTTCCTGTAAATCTAAAGTTATTCCAAAATTTGAAATGTATTTCTTTTTTGAAAGTGCAGTTGATTCCAAGTTTGTACAAATGTGTGTATGAGCACGGCATATACAGGAAATTGTTATGGAAGGTAAGGTTTTGTTGTTGTTGTTTTTTTCCTTGTCCGTATTTTCTCATTTTTCTACAGTGGACATGTATGGCTTCTTAGAAACCCCATCTCCACCACAGCCAAGGGTATCCCTCACCAGCGAACCGCCCACACCTGACCTTCATGGTTCCCAGAAACTGGGGCAGAGACCAGACCCACAGTGGGAGAAGTCACGGGGCCTTGGCAGGGGAGTTGCTGGATCCCCGGACGGAAAGCTCTAGGTCTGCATTCACGCTCCCCCAGGTTTTTGCACAGGGAGCGGCTTCTGGCAATAGGGGCCTCACCCCAACCAGAGAAGACTGCAAAGAGAGGATTATTTCTGCCTGTGGAGGAGACTGTGGTCCTTGAGAACAAGGCTCAGCATCGGGGAGAGGCCCCGCTCTCCATGGCCCCAGACAGACACACTGCTGTTTTAGCTAAACCTTTATGTAAAACTTCAGATTTGCCAGAGGGGTGATTCACCTTGGGTCCTTGGATAAGGAGCTTTTCCTCACTGCAGAAATACAGCTTGTTCACTTAAAGCAGGTGAGCCCTGAGCCTCTGGCTCTCCAGTCCCAGATTAGCAGGAGCAGCCATATGGTCATCTCCCTGGTGACCTGGACTCCTGTCTCTGCCTCCCTGGCTTCCTGAGGTGTCCCAAGGAGACCCTCCTGCCTTTGTCGTCTGCTTGACTGGGCAGATGTGTGCTCATCTACACACACAGGGGGTTTGGGGCATGGTCTCCAGACTTAGCTAGAAGGGGAAAAGGACTCTAGAACATTTCCTTGGGTTTGTGGGGGGCTGGGACCAATGACTTCTTGAGACAATGATAGTCCTATTTGAGAAACTAAAAATGTTTTACGTCATTTGGTTCTCTCCCCCGCAGCTCATCTTGGCAAACCAAACAATCACTGAATTGTTTCCGTGGAAACACCAAACTGTGATTTGGATTAGCGGAATCAAAATAGAAACAAGGCAACCTCAAGAATAAATAGGAGCTTTGGAACCTGCTAGTTGCAAACTGCAAATTCAAGCCACAGCATAAGGCATGTGAGAAGCCGGGTCCATCCAGCCCTGTAAGAGTCCCCTGGCTGCATCCCACCAGTGTCCATGCCAAAGCTACTAGAAACCAGTTCTGTATACAGACTGGTTGACTTTGTAAGGCAGGATCTGGCCCACAGAAGCTCCTAGGACCTGCTGGGGGGCAGACAGGGCAGGCTGAGGAAGAAGGGGTAGAATAAAGGAGAGAGATGAGCCAATGGCCGAGTGAAGGTCAGCTTGGAGCAGAGAACCACAGCTGAGGCCTGAGAGCAGAGCAACAATTCTTTCAAAAGGACAATTCAAGGGCTGGAAATGTTGACCCTGCCCTCAGCCTCAACTAGACTGCCATGTTCTCCACATTACTGGGCATGGCTGTCTAGCCACATGGGTCTAGATCAGAATCTGAAATCTTGCGAGGTGAGTTCTGGGGGAACTTCCGGTTAGGGGGAACTTCCTGTTCTGGGGGAACTTCTCTGCCTCTCTGAGGCTCAGCCAGTGCTATCAGGCACTGGGGCCTGTCTTCTCATTTCTGGATCTCCAGGTCCCCCTCTCCCCTGCCTCCTGCTCCCCTCAGTAGGGGAATAGGGGAGCTCCCTCCTGGCCTACCTGCCCTGGCTCCTTGGACCAGGCAGAAGGCAACAGAACTCCTCAGCCCCTGTGTCTCTCACCTGTGTATCCAGGAACGTGCTGATAGGGCAGCAACACCATCCTCCCACTTGTGAAGTTGTGAGCTGTCAGTGTTCAAAGAAATTGAGGACGAGGATTTGCAAAAGAGGCCTAATTCAGGCCAATCTTCCTCTTGTTGAATGGCCCAGCTGGGGGCTCACCTGGTACCAGAATGCTACCTCTTCTAACTAAATAAAGCAAAAGGCATTGAATATGGCAATGGCCAATGAATAGGGCATTCGAACAAGGGAAGCCACTACACCTGACCGTAAATGTAGATAACAATTGAAAAGGCTTTCACCCCAAGACTATCTGAGGCTCTGGCAATTTGCTTTCTCCCTGGAGTATGTGAGAGAATGTTAATATTTTATGTCCCAGAAAAATAGAGTGGACCAAGTTTTACTTAGGAAATCTACTTGACAATGGATCCTAGCCCTAGTGAGGAAGGACTCTGTGCTTGCCCAACTTGAAAATGCCTGCTTTGATGAAGAGTTCTGGCCTAAGTCCTGGCATGAAAAAATTTTCAAAATTGCTCATCCCTTGTAGGAAGCAACTATCTTTTTGGAAGGCAAAAGAAAGGCTGTGGTTTTCTGGGCATTTTGGGTGGAGAGAGTTTGCTGGCACCTTGCCTGGTAGAAAAGAGGGCATATTGCAGGAGACCCCCTCATCAGGAGACCTTTGGAACTTCTGAGACAAAACACAAAGGAAGTTGCAAAGGGATGCTAGAGAGACCTGACTTTGGGACAGGGCTGCAAAGAGCAGTTCAAATGTTAAGCAAGCAATCCCTGCCCTCAGTATTTGTCACGTGTCTACTAAGGTCAGACACTCTCCTGGGTGCTGAAGATACACCTGGGATGAGGCAGATGCTGCTCTTGCTTCTGGGGTTTCTATTCCACCCACCAAGGCAGGCAAATCAAGTATGTGCATCAATATGACTTTCAGATGGAACTGTAGGAGAAAATTAAAACAGGGTAAGGGAACGGGCAGTGAGTAGGGCAAGCTCTTACAGAAGAGGTCAGGAAAAGGTCTCTCTGTAGGTGACATTATTTTTTAAGTTTATTTATCTGAGAGAGAGAGAGAGAGAGAGAGAGAGAGAATCCCAAGCAGGCTCTGCACCATCAGTGCAGAGCCGGATGTGGGGCTCAAACTCACAAACCGTGAGATAATGACCTAAGCCGAAATTAAGACTGAGCCACCCAGATGCCCACTCTGTAGAGGACATTTAAATTGATACTTGAGAGGTGCCTAGGTGGCTCAGATGGGGTTAAGCCTCTGACTCTTGATTTCAGCTCAGGTCATGATGTCATGGTTGGTGGGTTCGAGCCGAGCCCTGCATCGGGCTCCATGCTGATGGCTTGGAGCCTGCTTGGGATTCAGTCTCCCTCTCTCTCTCTCTCAAATTAAATAAATAAAAACTTTAAAAATGACAATTGAATGTCAAGACAATTAGGTGCTGTGATTCGCTTTATTTCCATCCTCAGATGTAGCTGGGGTCATTATCAGAGGGAGGAGCCCCTAGGTGGCTCTCTGGGCCCTAGGTCCATAGACCTCCCACTATTTCGCCCCTGTGTAGCCACATCTCTATCAGTTATCCAAAGAGCCAAAAACATCGTGTGCTCTGGGGATGTGCCTGGGATATGTCACGCTCACCAAATCTGGCAGGAACACAGTAGTTTAAAAAAAAAAAAAGCCTTAGGAATAAAATAAGAAACAGAATATCCTTTCCCGATGATTACCAGAGACAGGCAGTGTAATTTTAATTAACTCAGCCTTGTTGGGAGATAAATTTACTGCTCATTCTACAAAAACACCCAGCTCATAGAACACTGAGTCACTCTGACCTTTGACTTCATAACACAAAATTAAATACTTCTGAAGAAATACAGGATTTTATAATTCACAGCAGAATCAGAGAACAGAGGGTCCTGCTTTGGCATTTCAAAATTGGACAGACCCTTCAGTGAGAAAGCCACAGTCATAAATATTAATTGGATTCTCTCAACAGCGTCTCAACTTTGAGTTAAAATGATCAAACTTTTCAGCTTAGAGTAATAAAAGATTTCCAGATACAAACCCCTCTGGTCTACAAGCCTCATGCTTGCTGCTCAGCAACCACCTGCAGTCAGTTTGGGAAGGGTTGGAAGGACCCCATTGCATGGCTGGGCCCCTTCCTCCCATGCCTTCCTTGTACAAGCAGAGAAAACCAGTATGGAAGGCAATAGAGACTGGCAGAGGGCAGGGTGAACAGGCATGCAGTGAGGCTCATGGGGAGAAGAGACCAGGGCAGCCCGAGGCAGAGTCCAAGTCCAAGTCTTTCCTGGGCCTTGGAAAGGGCTACTGTCATTGTCTGAGGTTCCCAGCTAGAGGTCATCGGAGGCCCGTGGTTTGGAAACAGGAGTAAGAGCAGCTTAGGCTGGTGCCTAGTATCCCTGACAAAGGTGTTGCAGCTAAATTAAACTCACACCTTTGTAAAGGGATACACACCCTTGAAAATAATGAAAATAAGAAAAAAATCAAGAGCCACTGCTTTCTGTAATGGTCCACTTAGAGGTCCCAGTGTGATTTACTGCATTGCCTTGAAAATGGGCAAATTCTGGAAGGCAATCCATCCAGTGAGGATTTTTACTTTCAAACAATAAAGGAAAAGAAAAAAGGAAATTAGTCCAAGTAGGGTGGTGTTTATTCAAAATCATTTGGGTGAAGTCTATGGAATAAAAAGATGGTATATGTCTTATGCATTTTATTTTCTTTTTTAAAAATATTTTTTGGAAGAGAGAGAGAGAGAATGAGTGGGGGAGGGGCAGAGAGGGGGATTGGAGAATGGATGATATGAAGCAGGCTCTGGGCTTGGTGCTGACGGCAGAGAGCCTGGTGTGGGGCTCAAACTCATGAACTGTGAGATCATGACCTGAGCCAAAGTCAGAAGCTCAACCGACTAAGCCACTCAGACACCCTATTTGATTTTCTTTTTTTTTTTTTTAACTTTTTAAATGTTTGTTTATTATTGAGACAGAGAGAACCAGAGCATGAGTTGGGGAGGGGCTGAGAGAAAGGGAAACACAGAATCCAAACCAGGCTCCAGGCTCTGAGCTGTCAGCACAGAGCCCGATGCAGGGCTTGAACCCATGAATCATGAGATCATGACCTGAGCTGAAGTTGGATGCTTAACCGACTGATCCACCCAGGTGCCCCTTGATTTTCTCAAGTAAGTTGTTGGGAGATCCTTCAATAAACTTAATGGAAAAAATGTTTTTAAAATTTATTTTTTGTTATAAAATAAATATACATATATATATAACAAAAATTCAAAACTGCTGCAAGATATAAATAGCCAAAGTCTCATATAAGCCCATGTCTCTCTGGAAATAATGCGGGGTCCTTAGATGCTCTCATTAGCTTGAAGGTGGTTGAAAACAGGATAGGGAAAAACAGCTGGGAAGGAAAATGGGATTATGTGGCTTGTGTACAGTGGCGCTCTGGGCATTTATTGGGTGCATGTCACCTCTTTTTCATTGGCAGCTTAACATTCTCTATTTCTCTGTTCACAAGAAGACAGCGTGTCCTGTAATACGTCCACTGATCAAAAACTGCAAGTGCTCTGACAGTAAAACTGGATAAAAATAGTAACTAAAAAATCCTGAGGCCTGGATAGGCATTGGTCATGTGTAGGAAATCCTGTGAAGACCAAAAATGTTTGGGAGTCATGCTGCCACAGTAACAGTTCTGTGAGAGCCCTTCTGCCACTCAGTATCCATACGGAGGCCAGCCCTGCTTTCACCAAAAACAGCACCCTCCTCCTGATGCCTTACACTGAGGCTGCTGCGCCAGCTCATCACCATCTTCACATACCTCACTCCAATAAATAAGGATGCAATTATCCCTTATGCCTGTCATGGGAAGCACCTGCTACCCAGAATGCCAGAGCTGCCCTCCCACCCCACACCTGTCCTGCACTGACCTCCTGAGGGCTCCAATCAGGCTGCAGGGACTTTCTGCTGTTAGCCAGCCCCAGTGTTCTAGAATTTGTCTTTCCAGCTGAGACCAATTAACTATCAGCTGAAGTCAGTTTATGGGCTGGTCAAAAGCCATCATCACTGCTGTCAAAACCCAGATCATAGAGCATACTCTTGCCTGGCTCCTTGCACAGAGGAGACTGTGAACTTCCAAGGCGGAGGTCACTGAACCAGCTCATCTGGTGGTCCCCCAGAGAACTTTTAGAAAGCAGGCTATTTTCTTGGGAAGAATGCCCACTGTGCTGCAAAATATTCTCCTGCGCTTCCCTCACTGTCTTACTGGGCATGACTGTTGCTCTCAGAACAGGGCTGACTGGTTTTGTGGGAGTCCTGGCACCCCACAGATGCAGGGACTGAGTAAGGGGTTCCTGCTGCTCCAGGGGGAGCCTCTGTGGGCCAGAAACTGGAAGCTGAGGATATTTAGAATTGAAAGCACAGGCTTTGATAGGGGTTTGTTCTTGCTTCCTGGCTAGGAGCCTGCTTCTGCAGGCTTTCCTGGGCTGCTGCTGCTTGCCTTTCCTCCCTCTTTCCATAATTGTGCCTTTCTGTGTAGTCACCAACTTTTGTTCGCAAGGGGCACACGAAAACACACCTTCAGCTTGACATTTTTGGCAGGTGTTCTTAATGCTGGATTCAAAGTCCAGGGGTATAAGCCTTGAGGCTCCTTGGGAAACCCAGTTCCTGTCACAAGGCACTTTGTGGCCTGGGGAGCTGGAGCCATGGTTCTCAGAGCTGGTATTATTCAGAGTCCAATTCTTGCAGTTGGTCTGCACTGCCTTGTCCTTTACTTGCCTGTTTCTTTTGCCGGTTCCAGCTGCCATCAGCACAGCCTCTCCCTGGAGAGCAGCACTTTTTGCTCCCTCAGGACAGACAGCAAACTCCCCAGGCTGCAGGGAGCTCATATTAAGATTCCAGACAGCAGGGAGGGCCTGAGTTTGCCACGTAACTGGTTCCCCAGAGGCATATCTGTCCTGCCTGGTGAAGCTGAGGCTCTGAGCCAGAGGTGGTGAGGTCTGGGAAGTGCTGTCTTTCACCTGCCCAGGTACCTGAGGGACTGAAATCAGTCTCTTCAGCTCTGCTATGACACTGGCCACATTCAGCTGGCCTAGCTGCTCACACAGCTGCTGGAAGTCCTTACTCTGCTGGGCAACTAAAACTTCAAGGTGCTTCAGGCCGGACTTCATTTCTATAAATTCTGCTTGTCTCTAGGGAAAGACAGTGGAAAGAAAAGAGTTATGGACACTGCAACTCAGAACGTACAGTGAAATGTGCAAACCAATCAAAGCATGTGCTGGCAGAACCACAGCTTGTCCTTTGCTGGGTGCGTCACAGAGGAGGCATGGTTACACCCTGGAGCAGGGCCCCCTGCGCCCCACATCATGCCGGAGAACCTTTGAGAAGGAAGTTGGCCTCTACCTTGGTCCATTACAAGGGACCTGTCTTGGTTCTGCTCTTGGTTGAAAAAAATTGCAACTTTAAAGGTGTCTCTCTGGGACTTAGTGACAAAGCCAAAAACATACTTGATGAAAGAAGCTGGGATCCACACTTACAGCATCAAATCTCTTCTGTATCTCGAGGACAACCTGCTCCATGTTGCCTTTGTCATGCACAGTTCCCAACACCAGATCACTCTGGGCCTGCACAGTCTCTTGCACTAAATACAGAAAAATGACAATTATCTCACGAAGACTATGGCATGCCCACCCTGCCCAGACCACAATGGCGGAGAGGAAGGAGCTAAAATCTGGCACTGGCCACCTGGGCCTGCTCAGCTAGTGCCCAGAACTCTACCCAGATCAGCCTTAGTGAGGAGAGAAAGCCAGAGTAGGGTAGTTCCTCTGCTGTCTCTTCTTCCTTCCCTTCCCGAGAACATCCTGGCCAAGGCAGACTCAATCTCAGCACCTCCTAGGGACACTGAAACCTGCCCAGATGATGGCACCAACCTCCTCCTTGGCCTACCTTCTTGGTCCCGTCATCAGAGTATTCTCTCGAGAGTGTAGATATGATCATGCCTCCTCTGAAACCCTTGTTGAAACTTTCAATGGCACCACACTGGCCACTGGATAAAGTCCAAATCTTTAAATTGGCCATCAGACCCAGGCTCACTTCCTCTCACCTTCTCTATCCACCCCCACATCTCTGAGCTCTGTTTCCTAAGCAATCTCCTTCTCGCCATTGCCCTTGTGCATGCCCTTGGCTTGGAGTCTATCTCTGCTTCTACCCCTGTCAACTCTACCCATTCCCCTCAACCACCACCTCAGTGCAACTCATTCTTATTCTTTCTTCTGCTCTCAGAAGTCCCCTCCTTGGAAAATAGCATTTCCTAGCTGGCTTGGGGGCTCCTCCTCTCTGCTGTGTGCTGTACCATCACTTATCACCCTCCACTTATGTATCCCCTCTTTACACTTGGGCTGTAATGAACTTGGTGACCCAAGTTGTAACCTCTCAGGACTGATACTGATTCCTCTCTTTGGCATAGAGAGCTTTTAACCTACTAAACCACCCAGGTGCCCCTGGCATAGAGAGATTTTAAACACATACATGCGCGCGCACGCACACACACACACACACACACACACAGTCTTAATAACCCATTGTGTTGCAATCAATTATTGTCATCCTCTTCTAAATGGCAGGTCATGTGAAGATGCTCTTACATATATTCAACAAATACTTGATGAGTATCTGCCATATGCTATAAACTATTATTATAAGTTCACATACATCTTAAATGCATAGCAAGTATAATTTACAAATAATCAGGAATAATATACCAGAGATTCCTTTTATCTTCTCATATATCTAAAGGATGTTTCAAGATTCTTTTTTTTTTAATTTTTTTTTTAATTAATGTTTTATTTATTTCTAGGAGAGAGAGAGACAGCGTGAGCAGGGGAGGGTCAGAGAGAGAGGGAGTCACAGACTCTGAAACAGGCTCCAGGCTCTGAGCTGGCAGTCAGCACAGAGCCCGACGCGGGGCTCGAACCCACGAACCGCGAGATCATGACCTAAGCGAAAGTCGGACGCTTAACCAACTAAGCCACCCAGGCGCCCCTGATGTTTCAAAATTCTTGACAAAATGTTTTTATTTTAGATGGGTAAAAAACAATTTGGTAACAAAAGATGCTTAACTCTTCACAAAAAATGGAAGGAAAACAAAAGTAACATCTGGTGCTTGAAAAGACAGGATAATAGACTCAAATTAGATCTTACTTGAAAACTTCCCTCAATCTGATAGGTGCTTTGTTAGTTCCCCATGCTTTAATTATTCTGTCTTTTGTCTTCTCTTATCAGCCAAGGGCAGGAATTTACCACATGGTATCTCATAAAGTTTAAGTGATTTACTTCAGAGTTTCTCTTTAAAATAAAACATAATTACCTTCTTAAGGGGAGTCTTACATTTCAGATTTGAAAAAAAAAAAAAAGCTTATTTATTTTTGAGAGAGAGAGAGCATGCATGAGCTGGGGAGGGGCAGAGAGAGAGGGGGACAGAGGATCCAAAGCAGGCTCTGCACTGACAGCAGAGAGCCCCCGATATGGGGCTCATACCCACAAACCACGAGATCATGAGTTGAGCCAAAGTCGGACACTTAACCAACTAAGCCACTCAGCCATGTGCTCGCTCTCTCTCTCTCAAAAATAAATAGGCATTAAAAATTTTTTTTAATGTTTTATTTATTTCTGAGATAGAGACAGCGTGAGCAGGGGAGGGTCAGAATAAGAGGGAGATACAGGATCTGAAGCAGGCTCCAGGCTCTGAGCTGGCTGTCAGCACAGAGCCCGACATGGGGCTCAAACTTACGAACCGTGAGATCATGACCTGAGCCGAAGTCGGGTGCTCAACCAACTGAGCAACCCAGGCGATAGGCATTTTAAAAAACTAAAAAAAAAAAAAGAAAGAAAGAAAGAAAAGAAAAGAATATCAAGGGAAAACATGAGGCTCAAGAACTCAAGAAATGTCCGTTAAAGGATAGTTGTGGGGGGAACCCAAATAACATAAAGAATCAAGAAGAAGAATTGCATCAAACATCTCAATAACCAAACTAAAACTAGAAGACAATGGAGCCATGCCTTAGAAATTCTGAGGGCAAAGAATTTCTCACTTAGGATTCTAGACCCATGTGGAGATAGAAGTCATTTTCAAAAATGCAATGTATAAAAAAAGTTACCTCCCACATACTTTCTCAGAAAGCTATTGGAAGATGTGTATCACCAAATACAACTGTAAACCAAAGTCCAGGAAGCAAAGGGATCCAAGACTGGGGATGAAAAAAATAATTGGATCCTCAAAATGATGGTGAAGAGAAGCCCTAAGATTGGGATCTCAGGAGTAATCTGCCCAGTCTAGAGCTGGAAGGCCGAGTTCAGCTGGGAGGTCTCTAATGAGAAAATGAAACAGAATTCCTGATGTGTCTGAACACATTCAATGGAGATTTACAGTTTTATCTGAAAATTATTATCAGATACTGTACTAGGAACATAGAAACAGTTTTGAACAAAACTGTCTACTATATACATGAATTCTGCAATTTTGAAAAGGAAAAAATAACAATAAACAAACATGAACATAAATAAATGAAAACTGTAATAAATGCTATGATAGGGATTATAATAAAAATAAGAGCAGGGGCACCTACTTCATATAAGGTCATCAGAGATGGAGACATTTAAGGTGAAACCAGAAGAATTAAAAGTAGCTAACCCTGCAAAGATTAAGGGAAGGTTGTTCAGATAGAGAAAAGAGCAAGTGCAAAGTTCTGAGGCAAGAAAGAGCCTGTTATGACAGAAATAGACAAGCCAGTAGAGTCTTGCAAAATAACAGTAAGAAATGGTAAATTTTAAGTGTATTTTACCACAATAAAAAAGTAAGAATTTTTTAGAAAGCAAATGTTCTCCTATTTCTCAATACAAAGTTAAATTCCATATGTCAACCAATTAGAAAAAGGCTGTTTACTTATGTTTCAAGTACTGGATTCCTGTTCCTAAACTCAATTAGTCAAATATTTTTCCAGACATCTTTGCAGATATTTGTAGTAGGAAGCAAATGTAATTATCCTCTCCTAGATAAATTCCTAAATAGCAACGTTTCCTAGCAACAATAAACGTTACCAACCACAAAAGCAGAGACTGAGGAAGGCAAGAAAAGTGTTCAATTCCAGATTCAGTACTGAGAAAGCATCTATCTGTGGTCCCACATGGTCTTTCCTTGTCCCCTGGGAAAGGGGATCTTTTCTTTTTTTTTTTAATTTTTTTTAATTTTTTTTTATTTATTTCTAGGAGAGAGAGAGAGAGACAGCGTGAGCAGGGAGGATCAGAGAGAGAGGGAGTCACAGACTCCGAAACAGGCTTCAGGCTCTGGGCTGGCAGTCAGCACAGAGCCCGACGCGGGGCTCAAACCCACGAACCGTGAGATCATGACCTAAGCGAAAGTCAGACGCTTAACCGACTAAGCCACCCAGGCGCCCCAAAAGGGGATCTTTTCTTTTGGGATCTTCTCTTTCACAGGATTTTTGTAATGAGCTCATTACTTCCAAAGTCTATCCTTTTTTTTTCCCTTTTACAAAGTTAATTTGGGGTACCTGGGGTGCTCAGTCAGTTAAACGTCTAACTCTTGATTTCAGCTCAGGTCATGATCTCAGGGCTCATGAGTTCGAGCCCTGCATCGGGCTCTGTTTGGATAGTGTGGTGCCTACTTGGGATTTTCTCTCTCCCTCTCTCTCTGTTCCTGCTTGTGCTCTCTTTCTCTCTCTCTCAAAATAAATAAATAAACTTTAAAAAATTGTGGGTTTTTTTTAAAGTGTATTTAAGAGGCATCTGGCTGGTTCAGCTGGTAAAACACCCGACTTTATTTATTTATTTATTCATTTATTTATTTAAAAGCACTTGAGTCTTGATTTTGGCTTAGGTCATAATCTCATAGTTTGTGGGATCCAGTTCCACATTCGGCTCCCTGCTGACAGCATGGAACCTGCTTGGAATTCTCTCTCTTCCTCCCTCTCTGCCCCCCCCTTCCCCCACTTGCACGCTCTCTCTCTCTCTCTCTCTCTCTCTCAAAATAAACATTTAAAAAATTTTTATTTAAGAAAATAATTTAGTGGCCCCTGGATGGCTCAGTTGGTTAAGTGTCTAACTTTGGCTCAGGTCATGATCTCATGGTTCATGAGTTCAAACCCTGCATCAGGCTCTTCGCTGTCAGGAAGAGCCTGCTTTGGATCCTCTGTCCTCCTCTCTCTCTCCCCCTCCCCTGCTCATGCTCTCTCTCTAAAACATAAACATTAAAAAAAAAAAACCCTCAAGCCTTTAACAGTATAAAAAGGCATACAATGAAAAATAACTCATTCTCTCCCATCCAGACCTCAGTTCTACTTCTTAGAACATATAGTAATTATACATAATTAACATTATGAGCAGTTTCTGGAATTTTGCATGGATACATTGATAAATGTGGATATCCATGTATAGATTATAGATTGTGTTTGTGTGTGTGTATGAGTGGTTCTTTAGAAGGGGACTCATTTCATTTTTGCTTTGGCTGTAAACATCAGATATTTTTAGCTTTTTTTGTAAAATGCCATTTAAAATCCATTTCCATATTCTGGATAATAACTGTTTTCTTGGAAAATGATTTTTTTATTCATTTCTATTTTAGCGATTTGACAACGGCTCTACCGACATCAGATAAGATTCTGATGCTTTTGCACTGATGGCCAGTGGTTTTCCTTTCACGTGGTTTTGTTCTCTCTGCTGTGCTAATGAGAGCCTGAGGAAAAGCCCGGGAGCTTCCATCTATAATGAGAGATTCCTCGGTCTCCCATTTTTGGGGGGATACCCTTCTCAATTTTCACTGATTGGTCACACTCCTCCACAAGATGTGTCCTGGAGTGAACTATGTGCACACAAGCAGTACCTTGCTGTTATTATTTAACAATGCATAGATATTTCCATTTCAACATGGTTCACAAAGATAGACCTCATTCTTCTTAATGATTATATGTACCTTGCTTAAGAAGACACTGCTGTACTCCAAGATTATAAAAATGTTGTCCATCAAATACCATATGTTTGCACGTATAGGAGGATTAGGAGGAACTTGACGGAGGAACAAGGGGGAGAAGAAGGGCGGAAATGGTGGGGGAAAGGGAGAGAGGCAAACCATGAGAGACTCTTGAATGCTGACAAAAACTGAGGACTGATGGATGTGGGGGGGAGGGGGGGATGGGCATGGAGGAGGGCACTTTGGGGATGAGCACTGAGTGTTATGTAGAAACTAATTTGACAATAAACTATTTGTAAAAAAATAAATAAATAAATAAATAAAATTGCCACCAGGAAAAAAAAAAAAAAAAAAAAATGTTGTCCATGTTTTCTTATAGTTTTTGTTTTTTTAATTTGAGAGAGAAAGTGCGCGCATGTGCATGAGTTGGGGGGAAAGGGCAGAAGGAGAGAGAACCATAAGCAGGCTCCATGCTTAGCATGGAAGTCGACACAAGGCTCTATCACACAACCATGGGATCATGACCTGAGGCAAAATCAAGAGTTGGACACTCAACTGGCTGAGCCACCCAGGTGCTCCTCTTATAGCTCTTTTTATGACTTAATAATTATACTTAATATGTTTATTCATGTGGAATTAATTTTTATGTATAGAGTTATCTGTTTTCTAAAAGAGACATTTTCTGATTTTCAATACAGCCCTTCATTTTTATTTTCCTAATGATATTTTTCAATAGAATTGATACCTGTTAGATGGTACTGCTCTCTGCTAAGCCTAACTAAACCTAAAGTAGGATGTGGATGGCCTTGGCAATTCATTCTATTACTCTGGTCCTTAGTTCTCAGCTAAAGAACAAGAGGAGTTAGATCAGATGCCTTTGAGTGATCCTTCTGGTTGAACAGGCAGACTGTGACTGGGGAAAGATATCATGACCTCATTCTGTGAAGGCGCCAATTACATAATAGCACAAGAGAGTACTTTCACACATCTTTTCTCTCTCCCTTTCCCTTACAAGCCACAGTCAGTGCATACTGAAGGCTGTAGAATGTACTGACTGGCAAATTCAGTGCTTCTGGTCAGCTGGACTGGGCCAGACCATATGATAGAGGATTTGTCTGGTTCTTCTCTCAATGACTAACTTCCTGATCCTCATCACTACCTACCAAGAAAAGGAATGACTCTGGACAGACTACTTGTGCTCATTTTCAAGAATGACCTGGCTTTCTAATTAATATGATGCCACAGTATCTTTTACTGTTTTCCCTATCAATGTGACTCCTTCTCCTGAATCTTACCCTCTAAAAAGGAACCATCAGGGGTGAAGGATCAGGACCCCTACCGTTACTATAAGCCAGGCCCAGTTCTAACCCTCACTCTGCCTTGATCTTGTATTGGGACCTTGGGCACTTCCATTCCTTGTACTGGACTAAGAATGTCACACTTTTCCTGCAACCTTCCTTTTTTCATTTCACCTAGTTTTAAATGTAGAAAGCAGGAATAGTACTCTCCTTGGATACTTCCAAATGAGTTATTCTATCATGTTATACAAAGGAAGCATTCCTGATTTGCTTCTGCTCTTTGTCTTGCTACTTCTTGTGAGGGTAATAGTCCCAGGCTTCCTGAACAGATTTCCAAACAGATGCACAGTTGGCCTGTGTGTGGGATACCCAGGTTGGAAGCTAGCAGACAGTACAGTGCTTTCTTTGCAGACAGATGGAGATTAATTTCTAAGCCACACAAAGGCATTAATTTTTGTAAATCATGAGCAATCCATCCCAAAGCATTTAAATAAGTTGACTTCAATTGTTTGAAACAAAAAATAAACACACAGACAAATGCAAACAAGTGCAGATGCAGTCATCATCTTGCTATTTAGCTGAGAAGCTGTTGGTTCTTCAGAGGTGTCCACCTAAGAAGAGCTGTGTAATGGCTCTCTTCTGCCATAAAACCAGGACCATGGTTTTATCTAAACATAAATCAATAATTGGCAGAGCATGGCACGTTACAAACCACTAACTATAACTGAAATGGAGAAAGATGCTGTGATTCACTACAAAATAGCTCTCATTAGAACCAGGACAGAAAGAAGAAGTGGAGGTGACTGGATTATTTCTAACTCCAAAGTGAGCAGAGTGTTTATTTCTGTCCTAAGGGAACAATGTCTTTAAAGACAGCACAGCTAGCAATTCATTTGGGACTCAGGGATGCTGCTTATTCACTTCAGGCAGTGAGATGAGAAATCTGGCAGAGCTAGCCTACCCAGGGGCACTGGGGTTACTGGATGGAGGATTAGTGGTTCACAGAGGGCATCTAGGGACCAGGAACATTCCCACACATAGGGGTCCCCACTACCGAGTTCAGCGTGCACCATATCTCTTCAAGGCTAATCTTAGGTACCCATCCTCTCCTCTGGAAATACTGTGAAACCTCACCACTGGCAGAAACATGGCTAGGGTCAGAAAGTTAGGTTCACTGCTCACTAGTGCCCTCTGCTGATAACCTCAAACACAAGATACTCACATGTCTTGGCCATAGTCTCCAAACAATCCAAAATAGATTGGCTTCTTGAACTGAGATGTTCCTCAGACTTTTCCACAGATGCCTGCAACTAAGAAACCCCAAATTAAGAAAGAATTCAGACTGTTGCCTTATTTTACTAACTTGGAGTATTGTCACTTAATGATAAAAAAGGTGGTTAAAATACTGCTATTATATTAAGATATTGAATTAAGATCAATGCAATGTAACTATTAAAAACTTCTTAAAATAGGGGCGCCTGGGTGGCTTAGTCGGTTAAGCGTCCCACTTTCGCTTAGGTCATGATCTCGCGATTTGTGGGTTCGAGCCCCGCATCGGGCTCTGTGCTGACTGCCAGCTCAGAGCCTGGAGCCTGCTTCAGATTCTATGTCTCCCTCTCTCTCTGACCCTCCCCTGCTCGCACTGTCTCTCTCTCTCTCCTAGAAATAAATAAAACATTAAAAAAAATTTAAAAAAAAACTTCTTAAAATATAAAATGTTCTCATTCCTTGACATGTAGCTATACTTACCCGGTGAATGCTTTCTCTGATATGGGAAATGAAGTTGTATACAGTCTCACTAGAATGAGCAAGAAAAAAAAAAGAAAACGAATCTTTGTGAAATACTGAAAATGTAACAGAATCGATTTCATGAACATGGCAGGCTGCAAAACAGTGCTTGGTTAGAGCTGGGAGACTCAGTCCTGAAAAATTTAATGTGCAGCCACAAAAAATAAGGACATAGACTTTTCATGACCACTGCCAAAGCAAACCACATTTTCTTTTTAAAAATCTACTCTAGGGGCGCCTATGTGGCTCAGTTGGTTAAGTGTTTGACTTCGGCTCAGGTCATGATCTCACAGTTCATAGGTTCGAGCCCCACGTTGGGCTCTGTGCTGCCAACTAGCTAGAGCCTGGAGCCTGCCTCAGATTCTGTGTCTTCCTCTCTCTCCTGACCCTCCCCTGCTCATGCTGTCTCTCTCTCTCTCTCAGAAATAAATTAAAAAAATTTTTTAAATAAATAAATAAATAAATAAGATAAAAATCTACTCTAGGGGGCATCTGCATTGCTCAGTTGGTTAAGCATCCAAATCTTGATACGGGCTCAGATCGTGACCTCTTGGTTGTGAGACTGAGTCCCTCATCAAGCCCCATACCAGGCTCCGAGCTGAGCATGGAGCCTACTTGGGATTCTCTCTCTCCTTCTTTCTCTGCCCCTCCCCCCCATTGCCCCCCCTCTCTCTTTCTCTCACCCCCCTCAATAAATACATGAACATTTAAACCTGTCAGATACCAAAAAAATAAGAAGAAAATAAAATTTATTCTATATGTATCTTTAAAAAGGTTAAATATTAGGGGCACCTGGGTGGCTCAGTCAGTTAAGCATCCAACTCTTGATTTCAGCTTAGGTCATGATCTCACAGTTTAGTGGGTTCAAGCCCCACACTGGGCTCTGGGCTCTACTCCTCCTCTACTCACCCTATCTCTGTTTCTCTTAAAATTAAAAAAACGTTAAAAAAATTAAAAAATATTAAATATACAACTCAAGTAATTACTACAGTAAAACAGGCCAGCTTTCATTTTTATAGCAACAATAGCTTCAGAAAATAGTGATTTCTTTCTGGTAGTACAAAATTCCCGGAAATATCTTAGTCTAATGACTATTGTATTGACTGTGAGAATGGGCAGAGTCAATTCTGGGAGCAATATTAATTTCTAATGAAAAGAAACTATTACAATTATTCCTCAAATGAATATCCCACTTTTGAAAAGATTCAGACATGGATTATCATCAGAAATTTTACAGATTTTGTTTCTTTAATCTGCACAATATAAACACAAACATCAATTTTTAAATCCAAATAGAGCTATTCTTTGTACCAAGTCTTTTGGATACTCAACCTACTGAGCTAACCAGGTACCCCTAACATTTTCCATTTAAAGTCAGTCTAACGGTTCTATAAAATTCTCATTTTGTTTACTTATTTTTTTTTTTTTTGAAAGAGAGACAGAGAGCATGAAAGCAGGGAAGGGGGCAGAGAGAGAGAGTGAGAGAGAATCCTAAGCAGGCTCCATGCCCAGCACAAAGCCCAACATGGGGCTCCTTCCCACAGCCCAGGGATCATGACTAGAGCAGAAATCAAGAGTTAGACGCTTAACCAACTGAGTCACCCAGGCCTCCCTACATCAAACCTCTTAAAAGCAACATATAAAGTGATATGGCGATGGGAACAATGCTTTAGAAACGTTGAGGAAAAATAATGAACCAATATAGAATTCTATAGCCAACCTAATTTGCAATCAAGTGTGAGGGGAAAGTAAAGAATTTCAGATATGTAAGGTCTCAAAAAATTACTTAGGTGCCATGCGCCTGTTGTCAGGAAGTTTCTGGAATATATGCTCGACCAAATCCAAGGAGTAAACTAAGGAAGAAAAGGATCCAAGTAACAGAGAATCCAGCATTGCAGAGAGGAGGTAGAAATGCCTAGGACAATGGTGAAGGGGAGACTCAGGATGACAGATGCGCTGCAGAGCAAGTCAGAATTAGGGAAAAAAATGCCTCTGAGAAGAAAATAACACTGAAAGGATTTCTGATGTGTTTGACTATAAAACAAGGAGCTTTTATAAAAAATTTTTAATGTTTTTTAATTTATTTCTGAGAGAGACAGCGTGAGCAGGGGAGGGTAAGAGAGAGAGGGAGATACAAAATCTGAAACAGGCTCCAGGCTCTGAGCTGGCTGTTAGCACAGAGCCCAACGTGGAGCTCAAACCCATGAGCGGTGAGATCATGACCTGAGCTGAAGTTGGATGCTTAACCAACTGAGCCACCCAGGCACCCCAAGGAGCTTTTTAACTAAAATTTCTGTGTAGAGTTTGGGGAAAGACTGATTCCTACATCAAAAACTCAGCAAAAAAGAAACCAAGACAACTTTCTTTTTTAATTAAGAAAATGTAATTATTGTATATATAATTTTTCTAGGCTATCTAGTTAAGGCTTTAAAGATTGAAAAATTATTTAACTGAAAATGTTCAAATAGCTATATTGGGATGATGGAAGAGAAGTTTATGGTGGAGGAGGCAGAGAAGCAACTTTTTACTCCAGGGTAGCAAGTCATTCTCTGAAGCTGAAAAAAATCAAGAAAAGATAATATAAGTTATTTAACATATGCCATAAGATATATGGAGGTTAAGTACTAACAGAGCTAAAAAGGTTCAATTTGGTGTAAAAAGGAAAAAGGAACTAGAAAAGAAGAAAGAGGGGTGCCTGGATGGCTCACATCTGATTCTTGATTTGGGCTCAGGTCATGATCTCATGGTTCCTCGGTTTGAGCCCCAAGTTGGGCTCTGCACTGACAGTGGGGAGTCTGCTTGGGATTCTCTCTCTCCCTTTCCCTCTACCTCTTACCTGCTCCCTGCTCGTTCTCCCCACCCACCCCTCTCTCTCAATAAATAAACTTAAAAAAAAGAAGTGGAGAAAGTCTTGCTGTTTTTCACTATAATCCTAATTATATTTTTAAAAAACTAACATGTAATAACTTGACTGAAAGAAATATAAAATTTTAAAGGTGTCTAAAGTCTAATAATGCTACCAAAATGCTGCCTATGAAAGCCTACTAAATATAATAGGTAATGACCTCACTCCTTATTAGTACAATTGGGAACCAATGTTCCCAACATGAAACTATATTATACAAATTAAATACTGTTTATATATAGTTTTATATTGAAATGTTTTATATATAACTGATAGCTCCCATTACTTTAACTGTTTTCTAATCCTTGATTACACCTTGTCTGAATTGAAATGTCAAGCTCTGATTAATTCAAAGCCTTTAAAAGACGCTTGATAAATAGAGTAAAAACATTGAGTGCTTGATAACTGAAACTTTCATAAAAAGCTACTGTTCATTTGGAAGCCATTTTTATTATTCCAAAATAAAATAAAAAAGAATGCTTGAAGTAGAGATTTCTTACCCACCCCAATATCATGTATAAGTTCATGGAAGTCAATTGTGACCTAATCTTTTCTCTACAAAAAGTCAATTGGGAAATTCTGTTCATCTGTGCTAACACACACACACACACACACACACACACACACCATTTTTTAAAATAATTTTTAAAATGTTTTTTAAAATTTATTTCTGAAAGAGAGACAGCATGAGCAGGGGAGGGTCAGAGAAAGAGGGAGATACAGAATCTGAAACAGGCTCCAGGCTCTGAGCTAGCTGTCAGCACAGAGCCCGACATGGGGCTCAAACTCACGAACCGTGAGATCATGACCTGAGCCAAAGTCGGACGTTTAACTGACTGAGCCACCCAGGTGCTCCTCTATTTTTAAGAATGAAAGGAAGGTGAATTATTTTGCTTTGAAAATTCACTCATTTATTCAACTATTTATTGAGCCCTCTTTTGTGACAAGTCCTTGGTTATAAGCTTTAGTGATGTGGAGTGAGAAAAAACTCAACTCCCTATCTTCAAGGAGCTTACCTAGTTGGTGTTTTTAATGCATTTTCAAAATCCATTCAAATTGAATGCTTTTTATTTTTTTATTTTATTTTATTTTTTTAATTTTAATTTTTTTTTTTTACAAATAGTTTATTGTCAAATTAGTTTCCACATAACACTCTATGCTCATCCCCACAAGTGTCCTCCTCCATGCCCATCCCTCCTCCCCCCCACATCCATCAGTCCTCAGTTTTTGTCAGCATTCAAGAGTCTCTCATGGTTTGCCTCTCTCCCCTTTCCCCCACCATTTCCCCCCTTCTTCTCCCCCTTGTTCCTCCGTCAAGTTCCTCCTAATCCTCCTATACGTGCAAACATATGGTATTTGTCCTTCTCTGCCTGACTTATTTCACTCAGCATAACACCCTCAAGGTCCATCCATGTTGCTACACATGGCCAGATTTCATTGTTTCTCATTGCCATGTAGTATTCCATCGCATAGATAAACCACATCTTCTTGATCCATTCGTCTGTTGATGGACACTTAGGCTCTTTCCATGTTTTGGCTATTGTTGAGAGTGCTGCTATGAACATTGGGGTACATGTGCTCCTATGCCTCAGCATTTCTGTATCCCTTGGGTAAATTCCTAGCAGTGCTATTGCTGGGTCATAGGGGAGTTCTATTGTTAGTTTCCTGAGGAACCTCCACACTGTTTTCCAGAGGGGCTGTACCAGTTTACATTCCCACCAGTGTAGGAGGGTGCCTGTTTATCCACATCCTCGCCAGCATCTAGAGTTCTCTGATGTGCTCATTTTAGCCACTCTGACTGGCGTGAGGTGGTATCTCAGTGTGGTTTTGATTTGTATTTCCCTGATGAGGAGGGATGCTAAGCATCGTTTCATGTGTCTATTGGCCATCTGGAATGATTTTTATTTTTAAAAAATTTATTGAAGCTTATTGAATCAAATCCTCCGCTTATTGAGATGGCCAATAACAATGTATTTAAGTAAATGATACTATATGCAGATCTGACAGCAACCTCGCATGAAGACAGCTGTGTCAATTGCTTATAGTCAGCATTTATGCTGAGTGGTGAGTGTTCAAGCTTCACTTTTTATTATTATTTTTATAAT